TTTATGTATTTATTTTATTTACAAAATAAAATTTATTTATAGAATGCATAAGATATTTTAAAATAACATAAAGTAATGAAACACACAAAATACCAAAAATAACATAAAGGAAAATAACCTAAAATAAATGAAAATGAACTATAATAAATGAAAATAAACGAAAATAAACTAAAATAAATGAAAATAAAATAACATAAAGTAAAATAAAATAATATAACACCAAATAAAAATAATAAATTTATGGTATTTATAAATTCAATTTATTCCAAACTGCAGAAGATTTTCAGTCCTGAGCACTTCAACCCAACCTTGAATTGGAATTTAGGTGGAAAATTTGAAATATCAGCTTAAAATTCCCAAGGATCAAGCTCCAAATCTGTTCAAATTCCCAAAATCTGGCTCCCAACCTCTCCAACTTCCAACATTTTTGTTGTTTTCCTGCCCCATCCCTGATAAAAATGGGATAAATTATCCTAAAAAGGGGATGAGGCCTGCAAGGCTTGGAGAGCAACAGCTCTAAATAACAAAAAAAATCCTGCTTTCTCCTGGAAATTCCTGTTTTTTCCTGGAATATTCACTGAAATCCTTGGAATTCTTTATTCCAGCTGTCCATCCGTCTTTTCCAGCCCCATCTCTCATAAAATTGGGACAAATTACCCAAAAAAATTGGATTGAGGCCTCAAAATGGGATGAGGTCTGCAAAGGTTGGAGAGCAACAGCTCCAAATAACATCCCTGGCCATAAAAAAAATCCTGCTTTTTCCTGGAATATTCACTGAAATCCATGGAATTCTTTATTCCAGCTGTCCATCCCTCTTTTCCAGCCCCATCCCTCATAAAAATGGGACAAATTATCCAAAAAAAACGGATTGAGGTCTCAAAATGGGACGAGGCCTGCAGGGGTTGGAGAGCAACAGCTCCAAATAACATCCCTGGCCATTAAAAAAAATCCTGCTTTTTCCTGGAATATTCATTGAAATCCTTGGAATTCTTTATTCCAGCTGTCCATCCGTCTTTCACTGCCCCATTCCTTATAAAAATGGGACAAATTATTAAAAAAAATGGATTGAGGCCTCAAAATGGGATGAGGCCTGCAAAGGTTGGAGAGCAACAGCTCCAAATAACATCCCTGGCCACAAAAATTTCCTGCTTTTTCCTGGAATATTCATTGAAATCCATGGAATTCTTTATTCCAGCTGTCCATCCCTCTTTTCCAGCCTCATGCCTGATAAAATTGGGACAAATTATCCAAAAAATGGATTGTGGCCTCAAAACGGGTCAAGGCCTGCAGGGGTTGGGGAATAACAGCATCCCTGGGCACAAAAGATTCCTGTTTTTTCCTGGAATATTCCTTGAAATCCTTGGAATGTGAGTGGGTGCCATGCCCCTCACCCCAATGACGTGGATTTTGGCCGGGGGGTCTCTCCCAGAGAATTCCACGGCGTCCTCAAACACTTTCCAGTTGCTCCGGGACAGCAGCGCCATCTTCCCCTCCCGGCCTCCCCGCACGTCCCCTGGGGAGAAATTCCCGGTTATCCACAGCCATTCCTGCAGGAATTCCCAGTTATTCCCAGTTATCCACAGCCATTCCTGCAATTCCCAGTTATTCCCAGTTA